CTGCTGAGCCCTGCCTCCTTCATCCCCCCCCCCCTCCGCAGCAGGTTCCTCTCAGCCTCCTCGCGAAATCATTAGAGGAAAAACAGATGGAGCTGTTGGCAATCCCTGCGAATCGATTCATCCAAGCCTCGCAGCTCGTAACTCGCCCAACAGTTGGGTTTCTCCTCTTTCTGCATTTTGTTTTTCTCTCCATCCCTCCCCCCCATCCCCCCCCAAGTAACCGGAGACCCCAACGGATCAGCGCAGAGCAGCAGCAGAGCAAGGCCACACCACGACCCTGCAACGGATCCCCCTCCAAATCTGGGACATTTCCACCCTCTCCCCTGCACCAAACACCCCCAAACCCCTCACCATCCACGCACGCTCCCACCCCACAGCCCCCAAAGGACTCGTGGTGCAAACGGGACGCGAACGAAGGGCCGCAGAGCCCCCGGATGGAGCGTTGCTTTCCCTTCCCAGAAGCACTCGGAGCTCATAAACAGGAGCAGCTGGCACCAGCACGGCTTGAGCAGGAAGAGGGGCGGCTGCACTCGCCAAGGGCTGATGCAATTGTTTAGACCCAAGAGCTGCTTTCTGTCACCCCCTCGTCTGCGCTCCCCGGAAGGAGCTTCACCCCGGCTGGAGCGGAGCGTCGAGGCACGAGGACGCAGCAGCAGCAGCGCGTGCTTGGCTGTGGGTTTGGGAGAGGGCAGGAAGTCCAGCATGCAAACAGCCAGTGCAAAATGCAAAGCATCCCTGGTGTGAAATGCAAAGCCCGCCGGTGCAAAATGCAAGTGCCTCCAGTGCAAAATGCAAAGCCAACCAGTGCAAAATGCAAAGCCCTCCGGTACAAAATGCAAGTGCCTCCAGTGCAAAATGCAAGTGCCTCCAGTGCAAAATGCAAAGCCCACCGGTGCAAAATGCAAAGCCCTCCGGTGCAAAATGCAAAGCCAACCAGTGCAAAATGCAAAGCCCACCAGTACAAAATGCAAGTGCAAAATGCAAAGCCAACCAGTGCAAAATGCAAAGCCCCCCGGTGCAAAATGCAAAGCCAACCAGTGCAAAATGCAAAGCCAACCAGTGCAAAATGCAAAGCCCACCGTGCAAAATGCAACTGCTACTGGTCCAAAAAGCAAGCATCCCTGGTGCAAAATGCAAAGCCCCCCAGTGCAAAATGCAAAGCCAACCAGTGCAAAATGCAAAGCCCACCAGTACAAAATGCAAGTGCCTCCAGTGCAAAATGCAAAGCCCCCCGGTGCAAAATGCAAAGCCAACCAGTGCAAAATGCAACTGCTACTGGTCCATAAAGCAAGCATCCTGGTGCAAAATGCAAAGCCAACCAGTACAAAATGCAAGTGCCTCCAGTGCAAAATGCAAAGCCCCCCAGTGCAAAATGCAAAGCCAACCAGTGCAAAATGCAAAGCCCCCCGGTGGCAAAATGCAAGTGTTCCTGATGCAAAAATGCAAGTGCTATTAGTGCAAAATGAAAACATCCCAGGTAAAAAATGCAACCGCTCCCTTCAGTGCAAAATGGAAACAAATCCGGTGCGAGATGCAACCACCCACAGGTACAAAATGGAAACAACCCCGGTGGAAAATGCAACCCCCCCCCCCCCACCTCCCGGGTGCAAAACCAGGAGGGGGAGCGGGCTGCACGCACGTGCACGCACACGTGTGCCGGCCGCGGGCAGCGCAGCACCGCAGGCAGCACCGCAGGCAGCGGCGGGGTGAGGGTTGCTAAGAGACTCGCTGCCTCCGGAGGGATGTGGCACCAGGGGGGGGGGGGACGGGGACATGGAGGAGGGGAGACGGCGCCTGGAGCGATGCCACAGCCTCGGAACGCGCCCAAATAGTGCCACCGTCCTGGGGGGGGGGGCACGAAAGGGGATGGAGCCCCCTGGGCTGCCAGCATGGGGAGGTGGGGACGCATCTGGTCCCCTAGATGCACGTTTGCTGCGGGTGGGCACGAGGGTCCTGCTGTCACACTGGGCCAGCACTCAGGGCCTCTGCGTGCTGCAGGGACACAGCATCGCTTGGGGACAAGTCCCTGCTCTCTGCCTGACCCCACTCCCTCCGTGATCCCATTCCCTGTGTGTTTGTTTCCCCATTGCCTGCGTGTCCCCACTCTGCAGCAGTTCTCCTGCCTCATTCCCACTCTCCATCATTAACCTGTTCTTTATATCCGCCGTGCTTCCAGCTGGACCCCCTTTGGTGCAAACCCCCCCCCAAGAACCCCCCACCCACCCGCCTGCTCCCTTTCAGAAGGTACAAAGAAGGATCCCCCGATGCAATGAAGGCACAGAGCTCTCCAGCCCATCATAAAGGCCTCATTAGGAGGAGCAGGAAGAGCAGCACCGTCTGGAAGAGCTCCCACAACCCCAGAGCGTTTCCATGCCACTCAGAGACGCTCTGGAGACGTGGATGAAATGGCGTGGTGACACCGAGGGAGGAGGAAGAGGAGGGGATGGATGGGGTGACCCGACCCCGCACCGCTGAGCCCGGCATCATCCCACAGCCCAGACTTAAAGGGATTTCATGCGATTGAGCTAATCCACTTAAAGCAAATCATAACGTGCATTTGTCTTCTTGAGTGCTCTCCCACAGACAGCCCCATCTCCGTCCTCCTCGGGGATGTGATCCCAATGGGCACCGCCAGCAGGGATAGGGGACAGAACGTCCAGCGGAGCCGCCCTGCTCGTGGCTCTGCGTCCCACGTGGCTACTGGAACAGCCCCATCCCTGTGCCAGGCTACCAGGCACATTGCATGGGGAAGAACTGCTCAAAGCAACCTGGGCACCGGGACAGCCCCGGTACCACCCCGCTGCCATGGGGACGCTGCCATGGGGACGCTGCCATGGGGACGCTGCCATGGGGGACGCTGCCATGGGGACGCTGTGGTACCTGCTGGCACCGGTCGCCACAGCAACGCCAGTGCTGCCATCCAGCAGTGGGTTTGGAAGCACCGTGTTGTCATGGCACTCACAGACAGCCAAGCTGCACTTTCCTGTACAAATCCCCTCTGCACCCATCAAAGCCCCCAAACAGCCCCATTGGCATCGCCACGGCACCTCCTGGGTGTCCCCAGTCCCCACCACCATCCCCACGGCACCTGCTGGGTGTCCCTAACTCTCAATGCCATCCCCATAGCACGTCCTGCATGTCCCCAATCACCATCACACCCCCACAGCACCTCCTGGTTGCCCCAATCCCCATCCCCATCCCCATGGCACCTCCTGCATGTCCCCAATCCCATCACCATCCCCACTGTACCTCCTGGGTGTCCCTAACTCTCAATGCCATCCCCACGGCACCTCCTGGGTGTCCCCAGTCCCCACCACCATCCCCATGGCACCTCCTGGGTGTCCCTAAATCTCAATGCCACCTCCATGGCACCTCCTGCACGTCCCCAGTCCCCATCACACCCCCACAGCACCTCCTGGTTGCCCCAATCCCCATCCCCATCCCCATGGCACCTCCTGCATGTCCCCAATCCCCATCACCATCCCCACTGTACCTCCTGGGTGTCCCTAACTCTCAATGCCATCTCCACGGCACCTGCTGGGTGTCCCATCCCCATCACCATCCCCGATGGCACCTCCTGGGTGTCCTAAATCTCAGTGCCATCTCCGTGGCACCTCCTGGATGCCCCAATCCTCATTGCCTTCCACATGGCACCTCCTGCATGTCCCCAATCCCCATCACACCCCCACAGCACCTCCTGGTTGTCCCAATCCTCATTGCCTTCCACATGGCACCTCCTGCATGTCTTCAGTCCCCACCACCATCCCCACGGCACCTGTTGGGTGTCCCATCCCCATCACCACCCCCACAGCACCTCCTGGGTGTCCTTAAATCTCAGTGCCATCCACATGGCACCTCCTGCATCTCCCCAATCCCCATCACCATCCCCACTGTACCTCCTGGATGCTCCAATCCTCACTGCCATCCCTACGGCACCTCTTGCATGTCCTCAACCCCCATCACCATCCCCACAGCACCTCCTGCATGTCCCCAGTCCCCATCACCATCTCCATGGCACCTCCTGGATGCCCCAATCCTCACTGCCATCCACATGGCACCTCCTGCATCTCCCCAGTCGCCATCACCATCCCCACGGCACCTCCTGGGTGTCCCTAACTCTCAATGCCATCCCCACAGCACCTCCTGCATGTCCCCAGTCCCCATCACCATCCCCACGGCACCTCCTGGGTGTCCCTAAATCTCAGTGCCATCTCTGTGGCACCTCCTGGATGCCCCAATCCTCACTGCCATCCACATGGCACCTCCTGCATCTCCCCAATCCCCATCACCATCACCACAGCACCTTCTGAGTGTCCCTAAATCTCAATGCCACCTCCATGGCACCTCCTGCATGTCCCCAGTCCCCATCACACCCCCACAGCACCTCCTGGATGCTCCAATCCTCACTGCCATCCCTACGGCACCTCTTGCACGTCCTCAATCCCCATCACCATCCCCACAGCACCTTCTGAGTGTCCCTAACTCTCAATGCCACCTCCATGGCACCTCCTGGATGCCCCAATCCCCATCACCATCCCCACGGCACCTCCTGGGTGTCCCTAACTCTCAATGCCATCGCCACAGCACCTCCTGCATGTCCCCAGTCCCCATCACCATCCCCACGGCACCTCCTGGGTGTCCCTAAATCTCAGTGCCATCTCCATGGCACCTCCTGGATGCCCCAATCCTCACTGCCATCCACATGGCACCTCCTGCATCTCCCCAGTCGCCATCACCATCCCCACGGCACCTTCTGAGTGTCCCTAAATCTCAATGCCACCTCCATGGCACCTCCTGCATGTCCCCAATCCCCATCACCATCCCCATGGCACCTCCTGGGTGTCCCTAAATCTCAGTGCCATCTCCGTGGCACCTCCTGGATGCTCCAATCCTCATTGCCTTCCACATGGCACCTCCTGCATGTCCCCAGTCCCCATCACCATCCCCATGGCACCTGTTGGGTGTCCCAATCCCCATCACCACCCCCACAGCACCTCCTGGGTGTCCCTAACTCTCAATGCCATCCCCACAGCACCTCCTGCATGTCCCCAATCCCCATCACACCCCCACAGCACCTCCTGGATGCCCCAATCCTCACTGCCATCCCCATGGCACCTCCTGCATGTCCCCAATCCCCATCACCATCCCCACAGCACCTTCTGAGTGTCCCTAACTCTCAATGCCACCTCCATGGCACCTCCTGGATGCCCCAATCCCCATCACCATCCCCACGGCACCTCCTGGGTGTCCCTAAATCTCAGTGCCATCTCCATGGCACCTCCTGGATGCCCCAATCCTCACTGCCATCCACATGGCACCTCCTGCATGTCCCCAGTCGCCATCACCATCCCCACGGCACCTTCTGAGTGTCCCTAAATCTCAATGCCATCCTCACATGGCACCTCCTGCATGTCCCCAATCCCCATCACACCCCCACAGCACCTCCTGGATGCCCCAGTCCTCACTGCCATCCCCACGGCACCTCTTGCATGTCTCCAATCCCAATCACCATCCCCACAGCACCTTCTGAGTGTCCCTAACTCTCAATGCCACCTCCATAGCACCTCCTGGATGCCCCAGTCCTCATTGCCTTCCACATGGAACCTCCTGCATGTCCCCAATCCCCATCACCATCCCCATGGCACCTCCTGGGTGTCCCTAAATCTCAGTGCCATCCCCACGGCACCTCCTGCATGTCCCCAATCCTCACCCCCATCCCCACAACACCCCCCAGGCTCCCCCCATCCCACACACCTCACCTCTCACACACCCGCACCGTCCACGCGGCGATGATCCAGAGGGAGATGCTGAACACCAGCAGCACCGTCCCGGGGCAGATGGTCATGAGAGTCTTCATGACAAAACGAGTGTTGAAGTTGATCTTGTTGAGGGCTCCGATGCTGCGCGACGAGGCGTCGGTGAAGAGCTTGCTGTGCAGCAGCATGACGCGTGCGATCAGGTAGAGCCTCAGGAACATGGGGATGGACAGGATGATGTCCACGTCCGCCTCCGCCCGAGACGGAGTGTAGGAGAACGCCAAGCGTGCGGTCCAGAAAAATTTGTACTCCCCAGGGATGGGGTGAATGGCACAAACCAGCATCTCCAGGCTGATGTAGAGGATGCGCTCGTACGTCATGGCGATCCGCCAGTCGTCGGCACCGTTGTCGATCACAAAGAGCTGCCGGGAGGGAAAGCGCGTGGTTATGGGCGGCCGTGGGGCAGCCTGTGGTTATGGGCGGCCCTGTGGAACCCCACGGTTACTGGCGGCCCTATGGGATCCCATCATTATTGGTGGCCCTATGGGATCTCATAGTTACTGGTGGCCCTATGGCACCCCACGGTTACTGGCGGCCCTATGGGATCCCATGGTTACTGGTGGCCCTATGGGATCCCATGGTTACTGGTGGCCCTATGGCACCCCATGGTTACTGGTGGCCCTATGGCATCCCATGGTTACTGGTGGCCCTATGGCACCCCACGGTTACTGGCGGCCCTATGGGATCCCCTGCTGTAGGGAACCCGCTTTGGCAGGGGGGTTGGACTCGATGATCTCTGGAGGTCCCTTCCAACCCCTACAGTTCTGTGATCATTATTGGTGGTCATGTGGCATCCCATGGTTACTGGTGGCCCTATGGGATCCCATGGTTACTGGTGGCCCTATGGAATCCCATGGTTACTGGTGGCCCTATGGCATCCCACGGTTACTGCTCGTCCTATGGGATCTCATAGTTACTGGTGGCCCTATGGGATCCCATGGTTACTGGTGGCCCTATGGCACCCCATGGTTACTGGTGGTCCTATGGGATCCCCTGCTGTAGGGAACCCGTTTTGGCAGCGGGGTTGGACTCGATGATCTCTGGAGGTCCCTTCCAACCCCTACAGTTCTGTGATCATTATTGGTGGCCCTATGGGATCTCATAGTTACTGGTGGCCCTATGGCACCCCATGGTTACTGCTGGCCCTATGGGATCCAATCATTATTGGTGGCCCTATGGGATCCCCTGCTGTAGGGAACCCGCTTTGGCAGGGAGGTTGGACTTGATGATCTCTGGAGGTCCCTTCCAACCCCTACAGTTCTGTGATCATTATTGGTGGTCATGTGGCACCCCATGGTTACTGGTGGCCCTATGGCATCCCACAGTTACTGCTGGCCCTATGGGATCTCATAGTTACTGGTGGCCCTATGGCACCCCATGGTTACTGCTGGCCCTATGGGATCCAATCATTATTGGTGGCCCTATGGCATCCCATGGTTACTGGTGGCCCTATGGCACCCCGTGGTTACTGGTGGTCCTATGGGGTCCTATCATAATTGTTGGCCATATGGCACCCCATGGTTACTGGTGGCCCTATGGCACCCCATGGTTACTGGTGGCCCTATGGGATCCCATGGTTACTGGTGGCCCTATGGCACCCCTTGGTTACTGGGGTCCCTGGGCATCCCCCTGCATCATCCCATCAGCACTGAGGGGACAGGCAAGGAAGGGACCCACATCACGCAGCTCCACTGGGATGAGGGGAATTGCCCCCAGAGGAACACAGATGGGTGGGGATGGGGACAGCGGGCACACAGCGGTGGCACTGGGGACACCCAAAAGCCTCAGGTCCCTTCCAGCTCACCCCCAGGGCACACAGGACGGCCCCTTCTCCCACCCCACGGGGCACCTCTGACACAGCAGCTGTGTCACCATCATGCGACCGCTGCCAGCTGCACCCGGAGGGCGACTTTTTGGGAGGAAGGCAGCGACGGATGCTGCGTTGTCATGGCAACGTGCAGGTTCACCCTGGGCAAAGCCGCTCCTCCGAGCGCTGCGGTGGGGGTCTGAGCTGCAACGGGGTCTGCACAGAACCCCCCCCCGGGGGGCAGGATGCGCTCCCACCACTCTTGGCTTCGCACGGAGCGCGCTGAGAAGCGGTGGATGCCTCTCGGGGACGTTCTGTGAACAGCACTCTGCAAAGACACCGCTGGAGATGGACCCAAAGGGGACACGGAGGTCACGTCCCAAAGGCTGGGAGCAGCAATGGGACCCCAGGACCGTGCTGTGTCACACAGGCAGCACGCAGAGCCACCCCCCCTCCCAGAGCCATCCCAAGGGGCTGACGCACGCAGTGCGTCCCGGCCACCTCCCTGTGTTGGGAAAGCTCCGCTCCTTTGAGCTGCTTTGTTGGAGAAATTGTTTATAAAATCGCTCCAAGCTGTCAGGGGAGATCCTCAGGCATTTAGCGAGCTGACAGCCCATTCCTTCCTGGAAAAGGGTGTTAAAAATAAACAAATTAGCGAGAGGAAAGAGGCAGTGAGAGCCTTTTGGCAGCACACCGGGCAAAGGGCGTCGGGATGGGGAGGGGGGGCCCTTTGGCACAGTCCCCCCCCCCTCCCCTCCAGCCCCAACAGCTCACGGCTGCGTGGGGTTTCCATGGAAACCTCGGCGCAGTCCGGCGGTACCCGGGTATCCCCAGCTTCACAGAAAAGCTTGGGTTGGAAGGGACCATAAAAAGGCCATTGAGTTCCAACCCCCCCCCGCATTGCAGGCAGGGCCTCCAACCTCCAGATCCAGCATTTGCCATCCAACCTGGTCCTGAACATCCTGAACACCTCCAGGGACAGAACCTGTTCCAGAACCATTCTGTGCAAAGAACTTCCCCCTGACATCCAGTCGAAGCCACCCCCTCTTACAGCCACCAGATGGGTCAGGCACCACCTTCCCTTGGTGAAGCCATGCCGGCTGCCTGGAATCACCACTCATCCTTAATTTGTGCCTTAATTTGTCTTCTAGGAGGATCTGCTCCACGATTTTCCCAGGCACAGAGGTGACGCTCACCAGCCTGGAGTTCCACTCATCCTCCCTTTCTTGTCAATGGCAGCGACGAATTCTCCCCCAGGTGACACATCCTTGTTTTCCACCGTCGGTTCAACAATCCCTTCTTCTCCCTCAGTGCGACCAGCAGGTTCTTGCCAAGCCGTGCCGGTCTCCTGCCTCCCCTTCCCACGCTCTTAATTGAGAGGGACAGAGCGCCCTTGTGCTCTCAGAAAGGCATCCTGACGGAGCAGCCAGCTTTCCTCCGCTCCTTTGTCTCTACGGACATCTTCCCAGGACATCCCGTCCAACGAATCCTCAAACAGCCTCAAGTTCTCTCTCCCAAATCCACGGCAGCAACGGGATGAGGGGAGGTCCTGCACACAGCGGTGGGTGCCCACCGTGGGGTCGGATGGATCCCTTCAGCCCCCAAAAACCGCCCTGCAGCCCTATGGAATCCCAGCAGGACGCCGCCCCGCGCGGCAAATGGAAAGCCGGAACATCCTCAGGGAGCTGGCAATTAACGCAATTAACACCCGGGGAAGCAGCTGAGCCCTTCCCGCAGGTTGGGGAGGAACGGTGGCTGAGGATTTACGGCTCCGGCGGCCCCACATCCATCCCCGCGGAGGATTAGCAGCGATCCCTTTATAAGCACCTCAAAGATAATAGGGCCGCCAACAGCCGGCGCGGATTTGTGGGAGCAAACCGACTCAAACCCAGCTCCTCTCCTCCACCAGCCCGCGAGTGCCGGACCCCACGTGTTTTTAGGGGTCGGAGGAAGGGAAGGCAGTGAGGAAATCAGCGCACGCCGCTAATTGCCACCGAACCGTCGGCTATTGAAGCCGCGAGGCTGCGAGGAGCCGCGAGGATGCGGAGACCTCAGAGAGCCCACGGGGAGGGGTGGAAGGAAGCGGGGCAGCGCAAAGCTGAGGGTGGGACACCTCCGTGCTGGGGGCGCTTCGGTTTCACGGCCCCCAGCACAGCGGCCCGTCCCCAGATCGCGACGTTTCGGCCGATTTAAGCCGCTCTGCCCTGCGCGCTGAGCGGGGCTCAGCCGGGACGGGAGGACAGAACCGAGAACAAAAAGCGGGAGGAAGGAAGCGGCAGCGAGCCGGGTTCAGCCCGGCCGGGCACAAACACAGCGACCCTGGGGGTAAATATTATTGCAGCACAGCGCAGCTTCTCAAATATTTGTTCTGGGCGGCCTTTCGACCGTGGAAGGGGCAGAGATCTCCTGCGCTGCTCTGCACTGGGGAGCTCAGCCCCGACGGCGCGCACAGAACGCAGCGCAGGAGGAGGGGACCGCGCTCGGCGCTCCCGGTGTCTCCCCGGTGGATGCGGAATGAAGCCGGCAACTCCCGGCATCGCTGCTCGGTGACCACAGCCCCGGTTTGGCCGCGGGCCCGGCAGGAAGGCGGCTGCTCCCGCGCCTTTCCTCGGCTGCTCCCGAGGGATGGGTGCTGTGGGGACAGCGGTGTTGGGTCAGGGTCGCACTGGGGGACGCCCCCAGACCCAGGGCACGGTCTGCACGCTGCGCCCGACCCCCCCGCAGCCCCAAAACGCTGGCATCGGAGCGAGCCGAATCAGAGCCTTTATCTCCCCGCAAAGCCGGAGAGGGCAGAAAGGAAGAGAATGGGCGGCGTGATTAGGAAGGTATTTCACAGCTTTCCTTGGCAGAGCGGCCGTGCGGTGAAAGAGCAGAAATGCGGGACCCTCCCCGTCCTACAAACAGGGAGAGGTGAAAAGCTGCGGCTCGCACCCGGCTGAGGGGAGCGTGAGGGGGGTGAGAAGGATGGGGACCCATCGCTCCTGCGGCCGTTTGTCCCCGTGAGAGGGGTGGGATGGGGATGGCAGCGGACATCCTTGCTTCCAAAGCGCACGGACCGTTCGGGGATGAGTCCTCGGACGTACCTGCACCTCCCGCGTGTGGTAGGCGATGATGAGCCCCAGCAGGATGACGGTGGAGAGGCTGATAAGGCATTTCAGGGCCAGGGAGAACATGGAGTCCTGCAGGAAGAGAGGAGGGGAGTTGGGGTCAGCGATGGGGATGGAACCGAGGGACCCCCATGGTGAACCCACCGCCCTCCCCGCAGCTTCAGCCACCCACCCGCACCCAGCCCAGCGGTATGGCACCCTGATGGGTGAGCCAATTAAGACCCTCCTGCTAATTAGCTCTACGTAAATTAACCCCTGATTCAGTGGTGACTGCAGCAAAACGCTCCCCACCTCCCACAGGTCCCTCTGGGGAGGGGCTGGGTTCATTTTCCCCGTGCGAGACCCCAGACCCTATTTGGTCGCAGAGAGTCCCTCGCTCAACCCCAGCGCTGACACAGTGGTGCCACAGAGAGGGGACAGCAGGACGGACAGACGGACGGCAGCATCCATCCCATCGCCGTGCTGAGACCCGGCGCGCTCACGGCACGGCACCACCTCCTCCCCCATCCCATAACCCCCACCGTGGGGCTTTTCCAACGCGTGGGATTATTTAGGGTAACGTTTCCCCCGAGCAGAGGCGGCACGGGGCGCTCCGGCCGCGCATTGTGAGCGGCTCCAGCACTTGGCACCCGCCGTGCAATTGTCTGCACATAATGGCCGTGTTGAGAGAAGTGCCGGGACCAAACAACGCTATTAATAGGCGGCCCCCAGGGAGGGCTCGTGCCAAGGACCCCCCACCCCCCTCCTCCTCCCTTGAAGCGCCCGCCCTGCCCGGTGACACGGGACCCACGCCGGACCCCGAGGCTTCGGGACCCCGAGCGCTCCGGCAGCACGGCGGCTATTTATAGTGAAGCGGTGCCTGGGGGAACACCGGGATTAATTGCAGAGATGTCACTCCCGCAACGGATCTGGCATCCTTTAGGGCCAATCTCAGTCGCCGTCTAGACATCCTTAACCCTCCCGCTGCCAGCGTGGCTGCAGAGCTTTGGCATCACCCCACCCCACAAACCGTGGGATGCTCCGATGCTCCCCGACGGGGGTCCTGGCACCGGGTGCCGTGCACGGAACCGCGTGCCAACCCAGCATGGTGAGGATGGGTGGCAGATGGGAAAATCCCATGCCCGGTGCATCCCTCCTCTGCTGCCTGCCAGCACCGACCCCGTGTCACCTCCTCCGTGGGGACACCCTATGGGTGAGCACACAGGCAGATGGGTGCCGGCACGGCCCCCAGCACCGCATGTCCCCACGGCAGAGCTCCGAGGGTGCAGCGCAGGGGGCTGACCTCCAAGTTGTGCCTATAGGGCAGGACGGCAGACCCCCCTGGCACGGCTATGGGGCAGGTGCGCAGCCCCCCTGGTGTTGCTATGGGGCAGCTTGGCAACCCCCCCTGCACGGCTATGGGGCAGGTTGGCACAACGCGGCCGCGCAGCACCGCCAGAGCCCAGCTCTGGTCACGGAGAAACGCAGCAGGAAGAGCTGCTGTGGGATCCCATAAACAACACCGTGGGGGCACCGAGACCTCATCTGGGGGGGCACCGACACCGCGGTGCCACGAGGGACCCCGACACGTGCGCTGCTCGCACCGCGTGCCATTCGTGTGCCCCCAACCGTCCCCAAAGGGTGGGCAGGGAGCGGAGCGCGGCCGCACCGCGCCGGGGTCCCTCAGCCCCAAGGAGCGCGCGGCATCTCTAATGGGGCCGCGCTGGAGCTGGGCCAGGGCCGGCGGCACCGAAATCCCCATCCACGCAACAGCTGCCGGCCCCGCTCCTCGGGCACGGCCACGGCTTCGCTGCGAGCTCCGGTTTCCCAACGGAGGGGGGCTGGGGGGTATTTATAGAGCTCCGGATCCTTGCTGGGAGCACCTCAGGGTGCATCACCACACGGTGACCCCGACCCTCCTCCGTCCCCGCCTGCACCCCGAGCACCGGCGGGGGCAGCGCTGACTCACGGGAGGGTCTCCCCCGGCTCTGCGGCTCCGCAGGTGGCGGTGGGCAGAGGGGGCGAACAGCACCTCAGCGCCGTTCCTGCAAGCGGAACACCAGCGGGAGCGGCTCCGGAGGTGGAGAAACGCATCAGCCTTCTCCCTCACAGCGAGGTTGGGTGCCGAGAAGCCCCCCAGCATCACCGGGGTCCCCACTCCCGTCTCCTCCCGTTCAGCTCCACAGGGACACCGGAGGGTCCCCGCGCCCACGGGACCCCCCGACACACCCCCACCTCCTCCTCTTCCTCCTCCTCCTCCTCCATCGCCCCCTCTGCCCGCACTGCTGGATGACGGCGGCGGGGGGGGCAGCGCGGCCCCTTCCCACACCGCTGCGTCCCCTGCACACGTGGCACCGCCACGCGGGGACCCCCGGCGTCCCCCGAACCCCCGCCCCCAGCGCTGTCCCACGGACGCCCATGGGTGCCACGCAGCGCTGTGCCTGTTCCCTTCCCCTCACGGATAGGTATAAATAACATGACAGATGTCTATACAAAGAGTTATTCATATCGCTGCCAACGAGCACAGCCAGGGAGCAGAGCTGAAAGGGGTGTGGGGGGGTGGGGGGGGAGAATTATAAATAAAAGACACCGTCCTGCAATTACAAAAAATTAAAGGGAAAAAAAATATGGAAGAAAGGGGTGTGGAGGAGGACGGAGGGCTGCGCTGCGCCGCGGCTGCTCAAGGAATGCCTGGAGAGGATGGGGACGGCCAGCAGGGACCCCACGGCTGCGTGTCTGCACGATGGGAGGGGATGAAGACCCCCCCAGAGCCCCCGCTTTGAGAGCCTGGGAGGGGTGGATTCGCTCCTGCCCACCGCCAGGGACGTTTCAGGGACATCCTCTGGGGAGGCGCCCACCTGGCAGCAGGGCCTCCATCCCCACCCTCTGATGCATGCAGGTCCCCTCTCTGCCCAAAAGGGACACGCGGGGCCTTTGTGGGGCCTATGGGTAGGAGCTGCAGGTGGGGACAAGACAGGGGGTGGTGATGCGGGGGTCCGGGAGACCCTTCCCCTCTTTAGGGGAGGAGGTGGGGACAAGACAGGGGGTGGTGATGCGGGGGTCCGGGAGACCCTTCCTCTCTTTAGGGGAGGAGGTGGGGACAAGACAGGGGGTGGTGATGCGGGGGTCCGGGAGACCCTTCCCCTCTTTAGGGGAGGAGGTGGGGACAAGACAGGGGGTGGTGATGCGGGGGTCCGGGAGACCCTTCCCCTCTTTAGGGGAGGAGGTGGGGACAAGACAGGGGGTGGTGATGCGGGGGTCCGGGAGACCCTTCCCCTCTTTAGGGGAGGAGGTGGGGACAAGACAGGGGGTGGTGATGCGGGGGTCCGGGAGACCCTTCCCCTCTTTATCCAGCAGCCACAGCAGTGACAGACCCCATTTCCTCTCCCGACGCCCCCCCCCCCCGGGCACACGGGGGGCACACGGGTGCAGCACCCACCGAAGCCAAACCATCTGTCTGTCACCACCCAACCTGCCCAACGCCCAACGTGACCTCGTGAGTGAATCTCCCAGCGCCAGAGGGGGCAAAGCGCCCCAAAGCCCACTTATAGGGGGCACCGATACCCCAACGCCAATCCCATGGGAAGCCCAATGCCCTCAACGTCAACCCTACGAGACTCAGCGTCCCCAGCGCCCACCCTACAGGACCCCAGCGTCCCCAACGCCCACCCTACAGGACCCCAACGTCCCCAGCGCCCATCCTACAGGACCCCAACATACCCGACGCCCATCCTACAGGGCCCCAGCGTCCCCAACACCCGTCCTACAGGACCTCAACATCACCAGCACCCACCCTACAGGACTGCAACATCCTCACTGCCTACCCTACAGGACCCCAAAGTCTCCAGCGTTCATCCAATGTCTCTGGCACCCACCTTACAGGACCTCAATGTCCCCAACATTCATCTTACAGGACCCCAGTGTCCCCAACACCCCCAACGTTCATGCTATATGGCTCCAACATTCCCAACACCCACCCTACAGGACCCCAACATCCCCAATGCCCACCCTACAGGACCCAAACAACCCCCACTACCCCAACACCCCCAACATCCCCCTTTCAGGACCCATCATCCCCCTTGCCCACCCTACAGGATCCCAACGTTCATCCTATAGGCCCTCAATATCCCCAACTCACCCTACAGGATCCCAACGTTCATCCTATAGGCCCTCAATATCCCCTACGCCCACCCTACAGGACCCCAACGTTCATCCTGGAGGACCCCACCACCCCCAGCACCCATCCTACAGGACCTCAACATCCCCAACATTCATCTTATAGGACCTCAACACCCGCAATGCCCACCTTACAGGACCCCAATGTTCATCCTACAGGACCTCAACACCCGCAACGCCCACCCTACAGGAATCCAGCACCCATCCTATAGGACCCCAACATCCCCAACATTCATCTTATAGGACCTCAACACCCCCAACACCCACCCTACAGGACCCCAATGTTCATCTTATAGGACCCCAACATCCCCAACATTCATCTTATAGGACCTCAACACCCGCAATGCCCACCCTACAGGACCCCAACGTTCATCCTACAGGACCCCAACATCCCCAACATTCATCTTGCAGGACCTCAACACCCCCAGCACCCACCCTACAGGACCCCAATGTTCATCTTATAGAACCCCAACATCCCCAACATTCATCTTATAGGACCTCAACACCCGCAACGCCCACCCTACAGGACCCCAATGTTCATCCTACAGGACCTCAACACCCCCAACGCCCACCCTACAGGAATCCAGCACCCATCCTATAGGACCCCAACATCCCCAACATTCATCTTATAGGACCTCAACACCCCCAGCACCCACCCTACAGGACCTCAACACCCCCAACGCCCACCCTACAGGACCCCAACGTCCATCCTACAGGACCCCAACGCCCCCAGCTCCCACCCCACAGCACCCCAACACCCCTGCTGCCAACCACACACGACCCAAACATCCCCCGCTACCCCAACACCCCCCTTGCAGGACCCACCGCCCCCCATACCTTGGAGTAGAGCCCCCAGGACAGCTCGGTCTCGATGACCATGACGACGATGCCGAACATTCCGAAGATGAGCGCGTAGTCGCTCAGCCGCTTCCTCTTCTCGAACAGCGCTCGCCGGTGGCCCAAACGGTACCCGATGTTCTGAGCTTTGCGTTTGGGCCCTTTGGCAAAGCCGGCGGGTGCGGGGCGGGCGGGCGGGCGGTCGGCGCGGGGGCCGTGCCGGGTGGGGGGCCGGGCGGGGGGCGCGTGGTTGTCCTCCCTGGAAACGACGATTTCGGGGGGTCCGCCGGCACCGAAGAGCTGCAAGGGCTGAGCTTCGGGTTCGGCCTCGATGAGGTTCCTGCGGGAGGCGCTGAGCCGGCTGAGGGGCTTCATCACCCCCCCGCTGTACTTGCAGGAGCTCATGGCGATCTCGGTGAAGGGGTTGCTGTCCCGCCGGTGCACCAGGGGGCTGGGCTGCCGGTGTTTGCCCCCCGACGGCACCGCCGAGCCCGGCGAGTGGCCGCCCAAGTGGTCGCTGAGGTTGAGCTGGCTGCCGTGGCGGGAGGAAGGGTGGAGGGCGGCGGGGGCGGCGGGAGGAGGGGCCCGCAGCGACCCGGGCGAGGAGTGCAACAGGCTGTGCTGGAGCGGCGGCAGCGCGGCGGGCGGCGGCGGCGGCGGCGGCCGCTCGTCCCCCGACGACGGGCACGGGCACCGGGGGTCTTCCTCCAGATCCCCCACGCCCGAATCGTGGAAGTGCCCCGACGTGTCCATGGCGGTGCCGCCTCACCGCCCGCCGCGCACCTGCCCCGCCGCCGCCGCCGCCGCCGCCGCCGCTCCGCCGGGTACCGGCACCGGGCCGGGCCGCCCGCCTCCCGCTCCGTTCTCCGCCGCCGCCGCCGCCGCCACCACCGGCCCCGGCCCCGGGGCGGCGGGCGCGCGGCTGCTCATGAATGGGAGCCGCGTCCCTCCGGCGCTGCGCGCTCGCCGCCGCCGCCGCCCCCGCCGCCGCCGTTGGCCCGGCCCCACCGCCAGCACCGCCCCGCCATTGGCCGCGCCGGGGCTCCCCGCAGGCTGACATCATTCCCCGCCCCGCTCCCGCGCCCCCGGCCCCTGCGCCTGTGCGGGGCGCACGGGACTTGTAGTCCGCCGGGGGGAAACGGGGCGGCGAACGGAGGCTGCGGGCGCCCCGACGGCGGCGCTGCGGGTGAAGACGGAGCGTCCCGGGACCGCCCCGAGGAGCCCCGTTTACCGACGGACCGGCGCCGAGCCCCGGGCGGCGCATGTCGGGGCGGGGGCCGGCGGGGACCGGGCGATGCCCGCGGGTGCGGCCGCTCCTCGCTGTGACCGCCCTCCGACGGGGGCTGCCCCGCTACGGGGGGCTCCGAGACGGGCACCGGGGGCCGCGTTGCCCCCGTAGGGGGGGACCCTATGGCCCCCGGGATCCGCCCCGCCAGCTGCCGCCCTACAACGCTCGGTAATCTCCTTAGGGCACCGAGCAGAGGTTGGGGATTACGGCAGCAGCTGGAACCGGTGGAGACCGGATGGGGTCGGGTCACCCCCTGCTCTATGCGGGGATGAGGGCACAGTAATGATGAGAGGGGGGACACACGGGGTCAAGCTGGCTCCCCGCAGCCCTACATCCCCCTGCTGTGCCCTCTGCAGACCCCAAAGGGTCCCTGTTCCCCCAAACCCGGAGCGGTGCCCGGCTGCTGCAGGAGCCCGGATGGATGCATCAGGACAGGGGCTGTTTGCTTCGGACGCGATTAATCCGCGGCAGGAAACGTACGACAGCACCCGGCTCCGGGATGCGGGAATTAAATGCACCTTACCCCCCATCCCGGGTGGAAAGCTCCATAGAAGGGCAGAGCTGACCCCCTCCCCACCCAGCGGGAAGGAGATGCGGACCCCACGCGTTATTCAGCGTCAGAGCTTTATTTGGAGGCACCCCGGGGGGGGGGTGGAGGGGGGGAGGACACTGAGCACCGTCCCCATGCTGTGGTTGAGGGTCCCTGAGCAGCAGCAAGCCCCAGTCCTGCAGGAAGGCGCAGCCTCTGCAGATGGAAGTCCTTCGGGGGGGGGGGGGGGGGGGTCTCTACCTTCCCCAGCACCATGAGACCCCACAAAGGTGAAGCCCCCGGGGTGGATGAGGTCCCCACACCATTTCCATCCCCATCCCGTGGCTACAGGTGGCTGCGGACTTCCTGCAGCAGCGCCTCCAGCTGGGCACCCAGGGCTGCCCCGTCCCCATCGTTGGCGATCACCCAATCGAAGGTCACCCCCTGGTCCAGGCCGCACTCAGACTCGGCGTCGTCCACCCCTGGGGAGGAGCAGAGCCCCCAGAATTGGGTCAGGATCTCCCCATCTTCTGCTCTGCGCTGCTGGGCTTTATGCAGAAACTGCGGGTCCTGCAGCCAGGGGTGGGTGTGGGAACGGGGGACAGCGATGGGGACAAGGAATGGCAGTGGGAACAGACGGCAGCAGGGGAGTTATAGGGATGGGGGATAGCAGAGGGGATAGGGGACGGCCATAGGGACAGGGGGTGGCAGTGGTGATAGGGGATGGCAGAGGGGATGGGATGCTATAGGGACAGGGGACTGCAGTGGGGGTAGAGGATGGCTATAGGGACAGGAGATGCAGAGGGGATAGGGGACAGCTATAGGGACAGGGGATGGCAGTGGGGACAGGGGATTGCAGTGGGGATAGGGGATGGCTATAGGGACAGGAGACAGCTATAGGGACAGGAGATGCAGAGGGGATAGGGGATGGCTATAGGGACAGGGGATTGCAGTGGGGATAGGGGATGGCTATAGGGACAGGGGATGGCAGAGGGGATAGAGGATTGCAGTGGGGATAGGGGATGGCTATAGGGACAGGAGACAGCTATAGGGACAGGAGATGCAGAGGGGATAGGGGATGGCTGTAAGGACAGGGGATTGCAGTGGGGATAGGGGATGGCTATAGGGACAGGGGATTGCAGTGGGGATAGGGGACAGCTATAGGGACAGGGAATGGCTATAGGGACAGGGGATTACAGTGGGGACAGGGGATGGCTATAGGGCCAGGAGATGCAGAGGGGACAGGGGACAGCTGTAGGGACAAGGGATGACTATAGGGATGGGATGGCAGAGGGGATAGGAAAGGGGCCAGCTATAGGGCACAGGGGATGGCTATAGGGCCAGGAGATGCAGAGGGGACAGGGGACAGCTGTAGGGACAGAGGATGGCTATAGGGATGGGATGGCAGAGGGGACAGGGAACATCCATGCCACAGGGCACCATGGCACCAGCCCCGCCGGTGGCTCCGGCGCACAGCGAGAAGCAGCTCTCGCTCACCCGCCACGAAGACCCAACTCCTCCTCCTCCTCGTCTCCTCGCTGGCCGTCACGCGCACGGTCAGCACCGCGTCCCCGTAGGCATCCCGGAACCATTCCACATCCGAGAGGCGCCGTGTGTCACTCACCACCTGCACGCACCCCCGGCCTCAGCGCCCGCCCTGAGCCCCCCCTGCCCCCTTCCCCGAGCTCCCCATGCCCATCCCTGCTCACCCACACCGGCTGTGCTGCGCCCTGCACCGCGGTGCGGCAGAAGAATCCGGGCTCGGCGCGGCGCTTCTCCTCGCCCCAGCGGATCATGTCCTGCCTGTACCGCTCCTTGTAGGCGCTGGCATCCAGGAGCCGCTGGAAATCCAGGCCGTGCTCCTGAAGGGAGAGGATTTGAGAGGGGTGCAGGCAACGGTGTGGGGTAGGGAACGGTGTGGGGCACACAGTGTGACACGGCTCGGCACGGCACAACATAGCAGAGCATGGGAGACCATGGCGTGGCACAGCATGGAACAGAACATAGCAGAGCATGGGAGGTCATGGCACAGCACAGCATGGAACAGAACATAGCAGAGCATGGGAGATCATGGCATGGCATGGCACAGAACATAGCAGAGCATGGGAGACCATGGCGTGGCACAGCATGGAACAGAACATAGCAGAGCACGGGAGGTCATGGCATGGCACAGCATGGCAAAGCACAACATAGCAGAGCATGGGAGACCATGGCACAGCACAGCATGGCACAGAACATAGCAGAGCATGGGAGGTCATGGTGTGGCATGGCACAGCATGGCAAAGCACAACATAGCAGAGCATGAGAGGTCATGGCATGGCATGGCATGGCACAGCAGATCATGGCACAGCGTGGCACGGCACAGGGCATGGCACAGAACTCCATACAGCGTGGTAGATCATGGCGTGGCATGGCATAGCACAGCATAGCATGGGAGATCACGGCATGGCACAGCATGGCACAGAACGTAGCAGAGCATGGGAGATCACGGCATGGCACAGCATGGCACAGAACGTAGCAGAGCATGGGAGACCATGGCACGGCACAGCATGGCACAGAACATAGCATAGCATGGTACATCACGGCACGGCACAGCATGGCAAAGCACAACACAGCAGAGCACGGGAGATCACGGCACAGCACAGCATGGCAGATCGGTGCAGCACAGCTCAACATAGCACAGCACAGCAGATCATGGCATGGTAGGCACAGAACGTAGCAAAGCTTGGTAGATCGTGGCACGGCACAGCAGATCGTGGCACGGCACAGCATGGCACAGAACATGGCACAGCACGGCAGATCACGGCGGCACGGTGGGTGCAGCAGCCCGCAGCGGACGCGGCCCGGCCCCACGTGGCACAGCCGTACCTGCGCGTATCGCTCCTTCAGCGGTGCGGACAGGCGCAGCACGGTGCACACGTCGGGGCCCAACCTACAGATGAGCGATCAGCGGCACTACGACGGTACCTCCCCCCCCCCCTCCCCCCTCCTCCGCCCTCAAATCCCCCCCGGTATCCCGGTACCCACCACCCCCTCATCCTCTCCCCCCCCCCCAATCCCCGGTACCGCTTCTGGATCTCCGCCGCCACGAAATCTTTCCCCGATTTCCTTTTGCCGCTCAGCAGCAGCACGACGCGGGGCTCCTCCATCCCCATCCCCGCTCCACCCCCCCGCGCCACCCGGAGCCGCCCCGCTCCGGTCCAATGCGCGGGGAAGAACCGCCCTGCCCCACCTCGCTCCCCCCCCTCCCACCCCCCCCCCCCCGTAGGTACGCAGTGGTACGGCCCGGCCGGGGGGGCGGAGCTAAGGGTTGGCTCCGCCCTCACCGCGTAGCATCGCCCCCTGCTGGTGGGCGGTTCGCACTGCAAGTTCGGGGATCACCGCCACTCCCACAGCCTCCCTGCCCCCCATTCAGCCCGGAGCCCCCCACCATCCCCTTCCCCACCATCCAGCATCCCTCAGAGCACCCTCGACATCCCCCCCCCTCCCCACCAGCCATTTTTCCCCCCCTCCCACCAGGCACAGCTCAGCCCAGCGGTGACTTTATTGCATCTACAGCAGTGCAGCAGCATCACACAGTGCATCAATCGGGGAGAGTGGGGGGGGAACGGGGGGGGGGGAACCACACACGGCAGCCCTTGGACCCCCAAAACACAGCCCACGGCGGTGGTGGGAGGGGGCCAGCAGGGACCCCCCCTCATGGCTCTATCTGCCACCTCCGTGCTGCCTCCAGGATTTGCGGCCACGCTCCTTCCCAACAGAGCTGCAATAGAAAAGGGGGGGTGAGGGGGGGACGTGGGGGAGGGGGGAGTCCTGGAGGGGGGGGGGGGGTCCTGGAGAAGGGGGGGGGTCCTGGAGGAGGGGGGGGGGGGGTCCTGGAGGTGCGGGGGTCACTTCTCCTTCCCCCCACCCCCCTCACCCAGCATAGTGCTGCAGCACAAACTCCTCGAAGCCGTCGGCTGCCT